TTTCCCCAGTAACGGCTGTAATCAAATAAGCGCTGCACTCACAAACGCTGCTCAGGCATTACAGGCAAGATGAAATGAAAATGACATCCATAATTTTCTGAAGAGTCGATTTCCTTCAGAAATACAGTGATATAAATACACCCGCACCGGGTTTCGACTTTGACACGTGAAGTGCTCATGTTTATTCAACGAAGTCAAAGCCTTTTGGAAAATCTATTTGTGGCGGTGAGTTTTGATATTGTGGCGGGCCGCCACAAATAAATCAATGTATGGGAAACACTGAAGATCTAAATATTAAAAATTAAAATGAAACCGCTGCTTGAACTGATCTAGGTGTCTGTCTTTAAAGTGTTTTGTTAGTTTGGTGTGTTTCCTCCTTTTGATGTCGCCACGTCTCAGTGCTTTTATGAAGAGAGCGCATCTGCGCACCTTTCTGATAGCGCATCAAGAACCGGGTTGACCGGGTACTCGGTACCACCGGTACTTAAAAAAACCTGGTACCGTAACGTTTTAATTTTTTTAGTACCGACTTGGTACCGGGTCTTTTGACAACACTAATACAAAGTAACAAAGTAAACACTGTACAAAGTAACAGAGATATACACACAAACTTCAGTATTGGTAAGAATTGCTCACGGCACCACAGTTGCACGCTTGCTCCCCAGGTAAACTGAAAACACACACTGGTTTGGGGCTCTTTGTTTACAGTCCAAGCTCCACCACTTTTGGATTAAACCAGGATGACTAATTAGTGAGGCAAGTATAAAAGGTAAGTATGTACATATTTACAATAACACATAAATATACATATAAACACAACATCTACTCCACATTAGGGCTGTGCGATTAATCGAAATCGTCATTCAACACATGGCTTTTTGGCTAGATTTAAAACAAGGAAAAGTGCACTTTTAGATAAACAAGGCAATAATAGTGGTGTACCACTCGTGGTGGTAGTTAAACAGTTATATTTATTGAGTTTAAACATGAATATGTCTATGAAAGATTGTATTACTGTACTGTGATAAAAGAGAATCAA